CTATCAATTATAATGATACAGGCCTGAAACTCTTATAGTAGATGCGCAATGATGTTTTCTTTGAGTTCACTTAGTATTATATTTAATATTTTCTTCGTCATGAATGAACTTTTATATAAGCGAACTATTTATAATTCCTTTAAATAAAATGATCAACGGTAAATTTTGATCGTTTTAGATGTGTCTAAGTAAAGTGAAATTTCGCACTAGAAAACATCTTGTACTTTACTAATTAAAGTTGTAGCATATATTATTAGCTACAAATTCATATAAGATACTTTATAGTTACGATTAATATCCACTGAGATCGATAAATGTTAATTTTATAGTTTCAAAATTCGATTTTTTGTTGATGTTATTTGAATCAAAATTTTTTGACGACTATGCATCCAAAATTAGTAATTAAGATATCATATGAAAGCCCAAATCAGGGCAATTAAATAAAAAAAAGTTGCCTCATTTTTATGTTAGATCACAAGTTATTAACGGATGAAAATTTACGTTATAATTGATAATTTTTAAGTGGTCGGATACTTTTTGCTAACTTACAAAATTAAGGTGACGATATTTCAAAAAATAAATAAATGAATGGAATTTTTGATCTTGTCAATTATTATTTAGTAGCAGAACTAGTAGTAGCAGCTCCAGTGAATCAAATTCCGTGTTTTTGATTTTTATTTTCGGATTTTTTTTCTTTGACTATCTCCATTTCGTTTTTAATAATGATAAATTATATCATTAATCCAATCAATATTATTTATCCGACAAAAAATAAAAATGAAATGGTGATCGTCAAAGGAACAATACCGTAGCGACTTGGAACTATGATTATATGGATCCTGATTTATCAAAAAGAAATATTCCAACGCGAAAAAATAAAATAACTTATTATTCTAATTCAATTTATTATACTATCCAATTCTTTGATATAATAAGTTCATTTCACAACGATTTTCTTTATGAAATTCAGAACGAGGTTCGTTTACACCAACCGATTTTAAGGATCATACCGCAGAGACTTGGCATTACTTTTTATCAAAAAAAATATAAATAAATAAATTCCCAACTTGAAAAAATAACGAAAAAAATATTTTATTTATCATCCAAATTAAAAAATCACCTCACCAAAAAGAACGATTTTGCTTATATATTTACCATATATAATAGTTTATTGTAATAAATGATTGATAGAAAAATTTTTCATTTATCAAATAAATCCTTGTAACATTATTTTTAAATTAATCCTGAATTTTTTTAATTCCTTATTTTCTATGTCATTATTTTTTTATAGCGATAGCATTTATAAAAATATTTTAGAGATTTACCACCGCTATATACATATAAATCATGTTTACAGAGTTATATTTTATACAGAAATAGGATATTCACGTAAATTATTATTTTGAATTATAATCTCTAATGCTTCTACATAATGTAAACTCATTATCTTGTACAATTTCATTTCTTGTTCGTTTATTATTCCTAACCAATGATAGATTATTTCCCATGTTTATAGTATTTGGTTAATAAAATTCAGTCGAAATTTATGTTTGTTTGTTTTTTATATTTATATTTATCGAAAAACAAAAAAAAACCGACTAAGCGAAATTTGACTAGACTGTGCTTCTATATTTATAAAAAAAATATTCAAAAATCAAATAAACAAACACAATATGACGGGTTAGTTTTTTAAGGTTATGTTCGTATATAATAAATTATAGCACAGTATAAAAATTCCTGTTAAGAACAACAAAAGAACTAATGCTTCTTATAAAATAAAATAAAAAAGAAAATAATAATATATATTTACAAATTTAGAATTCAGAATATTGGGTTGCTTGATACCAGCCCAGCTTTGACAAGAAATGTCACCAATTCTTAATTGACATATAAGATATGTTAGGTTGTAATATAATAAATAAATACTGTAAATTAGATATTTTTTTTTGCAATATAGTAATAATGATCGGTTATATTATTAATTTATCGGTCCAAAGTTGTTTTCATGTTGTGAAAAAAAAGTACTATTTAAAAGCTATAATTACTATTAAATGCAAGATATGACAAGCACATCAAGCACATTAAACTTTATTAGCTAACATTATTTTTCTGGTTTGCGAAAGGACAAAAAGATTAGATTTTAAATATTGATATACTTCAAACGTTATATATGTTAAATTATTGATTCATGAATTGGAATCCTAATAGGAAGATGGTTACATAACATGGCTCCGCTACGCACCACTATTCATGTAATGCCACATTAATTTATACTCCTCTTTCTCTTTTCCTCACTCCCTCCCCTTTTCTTCGGATAAACGGATCAATCCGAATACTTTTTAGATTGATCTGAATCCTTTTCGGATCTGATTTTTGCGTGAAGAATGCAAACACTAAAATATTTACTAGGATTGGTGTAGTGTAGGCATGCAACCCACTTACTAAATTCGAAACAGTTGATAAATTAATTTAGGATGTTCAATTAAATACATAAAAGAGAGGTGGTATTGCATATTATGCTAAGTGGATCGGTGAAAGCGAAATAGTCATCATGATGGAACATTAAAAAATTCGATAATTTAAAGATTTCTTGAACGAAGTAAAATATTTTTTTAAAATGGATAAGCAAATGAAGTTAAAAAAAGATAGCTTCACCAATATATACGATCAAAATTAGATGTTTATAGAAAATTATAATAATAATAACTGCAAACACTATTTTTACTTTTAGGAGTAATTGTTACAAATATCATATTTTAAAAAGAAAAATTCAATAAAATGTATCATTATAAAGCATTGAAATTTATTTATTATCTGGTCATATATAAACTAAGCTTGCTCCACTACTTTAAAAACTTCCCAATCAGAAACAGTTAATGGAGATGGAAGATTAATATTGCTGTAACTATTTGGATTACAACAAATATTGTTACTATTGGACAACATAAATCATGACCTGCTCCAAATGTTAGCCCACATTCGTTACTACAATATATAGCATGACCATATTTGCTACCACTGAATTTAGAATAACCATATTTTCTACCACCGAATCTAGAACGATCATATTTTCTACCATATTTGCCACCGTTGACCATGATTTTGAGAAATGCGACCGATAGTTGCTCCAGAAATATTATTCTTATCACTCATTGAAAACAAAAAACTATCGCTTGTATTTTTATAACCATTTGAATTCCAATCCACCCACCAATCGCTCAGAATTTTGAATTTTAGCTATCACAATAGTGGCTCCCTGGTTATTGCATTTTTGACGAAAAGTGTTAGAATTATTTTCATCTCGGATGCATCTGAAAAGAAGTTCAAACTTATAAGGCATCTTTTTTTCAATGTCCCAATAATATGTGTTTTTTTTTTAAGGGAAATTTTTTGTGAAAAGGAAATGCCAAGTTCACTAAATGTCTGTCGTGAATAAAATATTATATTATGTTAAAAAATAAAATAAAATAAATATCAAGCATTAAACTTGAAATGACGATAATTATATATATTATTCGTGATAATTTATCATTAACAAGGCACCATCGTTTAGTGTTAATGGTAATAAAATGATTTTCTTAAAAAGCAAAAAAGATTCCTAGATCCCTTCGAATTTGATTCATAATTTGACAGGTGAAGATTCATATGTAATATATTCTAGGTGACAAATATGGTTTCCGCACCCCAGGATATTTAATAAAATCGATATTCGAAAGGTGTGATGCACGATAATAAATACACCACCCTGAAAACCCTAACCCAAACCCATGTCATTTAACATAACGACATGTGAGGACATAGGATAAGAACCTAAACCCGGGTCTCGGTTAAGATTCCCCAAAAAAGATTATCATATTATCACGTACAATTCGCACTAACGTAATTTAGTGATGAAATGTTTTCGTCTTAATACTTTAGAAATATTAAAAGTAATAATAGCGAGTAATTTTATAGTAATGATAATTTTAATAACGATATCATTACCATTACGTAACTTACAAAATTAAGATGACGATATTAACACAAAGGCGATTTCAACTTTTTTCGAAATGATAAAATGACGAGATAAAAATTTCAAGAAATTTCTAATACGTAATATCAAATTTATATTTGTAATATCACTACACTACTTATAATAATCCAAACTACAGTAAATAAATCGGAAAATGAATTTAAAAAAATGAAATGCATCAAAAAATAAATAAACGAATGGAATTTTTGATCTTTTCAATTATTATTTAGTAGTGAATCAAATTCCGTTTTTTTGATTTTTATTTTCGGATTTTTTTTTCTTTGACTATCTCCATTTCGTTTTTAATAATGATAAATTATACATATTATTAATCCAATCACAATAATTACAATATATTTATCCAATCACAAAAAATTATATTATTTATCCAACAAAAAATGAAAATGTGATCGCCAAAGGAACAAATTGACAATACCGCAGCGACTTGGAACTATGATTATGGATTCTGATTTAGCAAAAAAAAAAAGAAATATTCCAACGAGAAAAAAACAAAATGACTTATTAATGTAATTCAATTTATTATACTATCCAATTCTTTGATGCAATAAGTTCATTTCACAATGATTTCACAAATATTTTCTTTATGAAATTCAGAAAGAGTTTCGTTTACACCGACCGATTTTAAAATGGATCATACCGCAGGACTTGGCATTACTCTTTATCAAAAAAAAAATTTAAATAAATAAAATCCCAACGTGAAAAAATAACGAAAAAAATATTTTATTTTATCTTCCAAATTGAAAGATCAGCGATTTTGCTTAAAAATTATATTTACCATATATAATAGTTTATTTTGATAATGCTGAAAATTTTTTTAAATTAATCTCTGAATTTTTTTTTTAATTCCTTATTTTCTATGTCATTATTTTTTTTAGAGATTTACCACCGCCTATATCCATATAAATCATGTTTACAGAGTTATATTTTATACAGAAATAGGATATTCACTTAAATTATTATTTTTAATTATAATCTCTAATGCTTCTACACAATGCAATGTAAACTCATTATATTGTACAATTTCATTGCTTAAACCAATGTTCAAAGCAGATTGTAAGAAAGATTTGAGAATATGTATTATCTAAAATTTATCTTAAAATTAAATTACAAAATTTAGAAAGGAAAAAAAACCAGATATAAATTATATAAAAATACAAATCGAATTAATCATTTTCAGAATATTTCTTTTGTCCAAAAGTTCGAATACAATCAACAGAAGATTTATATTCTGAAATTTCCAGTGGAATATTATTAATTAATTCATAAATCTCTTCCAATGGGTAATTATTATGTTTAGTGAAATAAGGTAAAGCAATTAAGAAAGATACTGCAAACTCTTCACCAATTTTTCCTCCCCAATTACCCAGCGGTATTTGTTTGACATCTTCTTTAATATTCTTCATGTTTGTAATTTTTTTCTAAAAATAATTGAAATAATAAATAATTAAATAAAAATAAATAATTGAAAATAATTATTAAATGAAAAATAAATAATTACCAAATCATTCTGTGAATACGTTGAAGGTTTTATTTCTAATTTTTCCAAAAATTTCTCTCCTAGAGACAGAAGCTTTTCTGAACAAGGACCTGCGTTATTTATAAAACGCCGAGTTTCTTGAAATTCAACCCATCCTCCCGGTTTTAAAATACGTACACATTCTAAATACATAAAGAAATTTATGAAAGATTTATATACAATTAGTATGAATAATTAAACAAATTTTAGTAAAAATAAATATAATTCAGTAATTACCTGGTATCTTTAATTGATAAAAATAAAAAATATATATATATAATAAAAAAAAAATCAATAATAAAGTTTAATATATATATATATATAAATAAAAGAGAGATAAAATAATAATTACCACAACACAATCCAATTCATATTCAGTAAAACAAAATCCCATATCACCTAAATGAATATAATCAAAATAATTTGATTCGAATGGCAGTTTATTTCGAGCATCCGCCACAATAAATTCTACATTATTTGGTTTTATTTCTGATGGATACATATGAGAAATGTCAAGACCAACATATGAAGATTGAGTATAATCTGAAGATAAATCCAATATCCAAGTTCCCGGACCACAACTATAAGAGAGATACACAAGAGAGAGATATATAAGAGAGATAAACAAGATAGAACGATATGACGAGAGACGAGACAAGAGAGTTGTAAGAGAGAGATATAAGCTACCCAATATCTAGAACTCGACATCCATTAATTAATAAATCTTTAATAGGAGCTGAAAATTTTTCTTTAAATACATTTTTTATAACAAAATGTTTTATTTTTAATCTTTCTGCTTCTTCAAAGTTAGCCGGAATCATATAAAATCCATTATTACTACTACTATCATTTGTTTCTGAGTCAAAATTTTTCGCGTTTTTAGAGTTTCTTGTTCGTTTTTTATTCCTAACCAGTGATAGATTATTTCCCATGTTTATGGTTATACCGAAATGAAATTTATATATGTTTGTTTTTTTTTATATTTATATTAAAAAAACCAACTAGGCGAAATTTAACTAGACTATGCTTCTATATTTATAAAAAAAATATTCTCATTACAAAAAAATAAATTCTCCAAAATTAAATAAACAAACATATTTTAACATATTTGTTTTTGTTGGTTGAACCAACAGTGATTTTTAAACCAGATTATATAATAGATGATTAATGATTATAAAAGATTTATAGTGTGTGACGGATTAGTTTTTTAAGGTTATGTGCTGTGCATATATAATTAATATAGCACAGTATAAAAATTCCTGTTAAGAACAACAAAAGAACTAAATAAGTATATTTTAAATATTTTATTTTAATTTTTAAAAATCAAAAACAAGAAAATAATATATATATATTTACAAATTTAGAATTCAGAATATTGGGTTGCTTGATACCAGCCCAGCTTTGGCAAGAAATATTAATTGACATATAAGATATGTTAGGTTGTAATGTAACAAATAAATAAATTAGATATTTTTTTAATATAGTGATCAGTTATATAATTAATTTATCGATCCGAATTTGTTTTCATGTCGTGAAAAAAAAAAGTACTATTTAAAAGCTATAATTACTATTAAATGTAAGATATGCCAAGCACATCAAGCATATTAAACTTTATTAACTAACATTACATTTTCTAGTTTGCGAAAGAACAAAAAAGAAACGTTATATATGTTAAATTATTAATTCATGAATCAGAATCCTAGTAGGAAGATGGTTATATGGTTCCGCTACGCACCACTATTCATGTAATGCCACATTAATTTATACTTATGATTCAAAATAATAGAAAATATAAAATATTTACCTCATTAATAAAATCTTTATAATTACTTCAATATCTTTGTCATAATTTCTTTTGGCTTGAAATTTGTCAATTAATAAACAATTTCAATTACATCTTTTATTTTTAATTGACTTTCTTTGACTGATTAATTTCATTGTTTCCAATTATCCATGAAGATCATTATCAAAATCAAAATTTTTATTTCTTCCGAGAGCGAAAAATTCGGCACAATTATTTCACTTTCTTAATCACCTCATTCGTCATCAAAAAAAATTGAGCAAATAAAATATTCTTGCCTGAAGAATGCAAATAATTCAATTAAATATATAAAAGAGATAGCAAAAGGTGGTATTGATATTATGCTAAGTGGATTGATGGAAACATTGAGGAATGGGTTTTTCGATGAAAGCGAAATAGTCATCATGATGTAACATTAAAAATTCGATAATTTAAATGATAAGTAAAATATTTTTTAAAATGGATAAGCAAATGAAGTTTAAAAAACCAATATGTATGTTAAATCAAAATGATGTTTATAGAAAATTATAATAATTATAACTAAAAACACTATTTTTTTTACTTTTAGGAATAATTATTACAAATATCATAGAAGAATTTATTTAAAAAGAAAATTCAATAAAAAATGTATCATTACAAAGTATTGAAATATATCTATTACTTTTTTTGTCATATATAAACTAAACTTTCTTCACTACTTTAAACTACTTTAAAAACCTCCCAATCAGATACAGTGAATGAAGAGGGAAGATTAATATTATTGTAACTATTAGGATTACAATTCCAATTATTGTTACTATTGGGACAACACAAATCCTTACCTGCTCCAAATGTTGAACCACATTCGTTATTACAATATATAGCATAACCATATTTAGGATAACCACCGAATCATATTTTCTACCACATTTGCCACCATATGTAGCATAACCATAATTTTTGAGAAATGCGACCAATAGTTGCTCCAGAAATATTATTCTTATCACTTATTGAAAACAAAAAACTACCGCTTGTATTTTTATAACCATTTGAATTCCAATCCAGTGGATTATAATCACCCACTAAATTCTCAGAATTTTGAGTTATCATATTTTTGATGAAAAGTGTAACTTTTTCCATCTCGGAAAAGAAGTTCAAACTTATAAGGCATCTCTTTTTCAATATCCAAATAATATGTGTTTTGTTCTTTACCAATCCAACTAGCAAACAATGATAACCATTTTTCTAGGTGGAAACATATTAAGAGCAGGAATAGCATCGGGAACCATATAACAACGTAAGATATCATCTTCAAATTCTTCGGAAATAATTTTTCTAAATGGTCGTATTTTAAGATAATAATCTTTCATAGATATTTCATGAAATTGAATTAAAGGAATGCAGTTGTGCAATCTTACCTCCAAAGTTTGAAATCTTTATCGGTGAATTTTTGACATCATCGTTGAGTTGATTTTTTTCTCAATGCCCCATTTAATCAAGCAATTCCATACCATAGTTCATTTCATCTATCTCAAGATCGTCGTATTTGAGAATTAAAATCAAACATCTTCTTCTAAAGTTAAGTATTTATTTGATTTAAATAAAATATTTGGATCGGAGCAATATAAACAAAACTTTTTGAGAAAGCATTCCAATAAGATCTTGACGCAAAAATCATCTCTATTATTGATTAAAAATTTCTGAACAAAATCAATAAGTTTCTGAAGTCTGAGTTCGTCAAAAGCAATTAGATCATATTCCCAAAGATCTGTAATCCCACAACAAATCTACCTTTCAAAATTAAACAAATATGAGTGTGAATATTTTAGAAACTTGTAAAATTAACGTATTTTAGAATTACTTTTAATACTGAAGCCGAAATATTTGGTTTTTTAAAGGAAAGTACTCTTCACCCATTCGCTTGAAAGGCCCACGAAAATAAGGTGAGCGAGCACGTAACACCAAAGAATGAACGTGAATTTCTTGAGAATCCTCGCCAGCGTAAATTTTAATATCATAACATTCCATAGTTTCAAAAAGTTGTTTAAAATCATCGGCCATATCTGAGAAAAATGTTGATGCCATTTTTTTTTTTTGAAAGACTTTTCGTGAGAAGAATTGATTATAGATAAATCACACGTGTTTATAAATCTTAGACTGATGGCTTATTAATATTAATCCCGTATCATCGTTTCATCATCATTTGTATTCCTTGTACATTTGCAATAATAAAAGTTGACATAAAATATTTGACCGCGCCTATTTAAACGACCTGGTATATTTTACCTCCTCTCCTTATAATAAATATAATAATAATCCGGTAAAGTGAATTTTTTTTGTGAAAAGGAAATGCCAAGTTCACTAAATGTCTGTTGTGAATAAAAATATTATATTACGTTAAAAAATAGAATAAATTAAACATCAAGTATTAAGCTTGAAATGACGATAGTTATATATATTTATTCGTGCTGATTTATCATTAACAAGATTGAGCTATCAAAATGTCCAAAGACTTTTGTAACACGCTGTATAATAACGAAGACCAATGGTAATATTCTTATTACTTATCACTATCCAATTTATAGTATTCAAGATCCACTTAATACTTTAGAAATATTAAAAGTAATAATAGCGAGCGATTTTATAGTAATGACAATTTTAATAACGATATCATTACGTAACTTACAACTTACAAAATTAAGATAAAGGCGATTTCTTTCGAAATGATAAAATGATGAGAGATTAAAATTTCAAGGATTTTCTAATAATACTAATATTTGTAATAGTAATATCACTATTTATAATAAAACGCTACTACTATTATTATTATTATAATGATTTAAATAAATCGAAAATGAAATGTATCAAAAAAAAAATCAAAAAATAATAAATGTTTTGATTTTTTATTTTCGGAATTTTTTGACGATCACCATTTCGTAAAATAATATTAATTCAATCGCAATAATTACAGTATATTTATCCAATTACAATAAATTATATTATTTATCCAAAAAATGAAAAGGTGATCGTCAAAGGAACAAACTGAATACCGCAGCGGCTTGGCATTGCTCTTTTCCAAAAAGAAAAAAAAAATAAATAAATAAATTCCCAACGTGAGAAACTAAAGAAAAAATAATTTATTTTTATTTTATCATCCAAATTGAAAATCATCAAAAAGGAGTGATTTTGCTTAAAAATATATGATAGTTTATTTTCTATTAAATTAGTCATGTTTACAGAGTTATAATTTATACAGAAATAGGACATTCACGTAAATTATTATTGCTATATTGTACAATTTCATTGCTTAAACTAATGCTCAAAGCAGATTGTAAGAAAGATTTGAGAATACATATTATTTAAAAAATTAAATTACAAATTTTTGAAAGGAAAAAAAACCAAATATAATTTATATAAAAATATAAATCGAATTAATCATTTTCAGGATATTTCTTTTGTCCAAAAGTTCGAATACAATCAATAGAAGATTTATATTTTGAAATTTCCAATGGAATATTATTAATTAATTCATAAATCTCTTCCAATGGATAATTATTCGCTTTAGCATTATGTTCAGCGAAATAAGGTAAAGCAGTTAAGAAAGATTCAGCAAATTCTTCACCAATTTTTCCTCCCCAACTACCAAGCGGTATTGGTTTGACATCTTCTTTAATATTCTTCATGTTTGGAATTTTTTTCTAAAAATAATTGAAATAATAAATAATTAAATAAAGATAAATAATTGAAAATAAATAATTATTAAATGAAAAATAAATAATCACCAAATCGTTCTGTGAATACGCTGAAATTTTCATTTCTAACTTTTCCAATAATTTCGCTTTTAGAGACAGAAACTTTTCTGAACAAGGACCTGCGTTATTTATAAAACGTCGAGTTTCTTGAAATTCAAACCATCCTCCTGGTTTTAAAATACGTACACATTCTAAATATATAAAGAAATTTATGAAAGTTTATATAAAATTAATATGAACAATAAATTTCAATTAAACAAATTTTAGTAAAAATAAATATAATATATAATTCAGTAATTACCTGGTATCTTTAATTGATAAAAATAAAAAATATAATAAAAAAAAAAAAAAAATTAATAATAAAGTTTCAAGCAAATATATATATTTATATATGTATAAATAAAAGAGAGATAAAATAATAATTACCACAACACAATCCAATTCATATTCAGTAAAACAAATTCCCATATCACCTAAATGAATATAATCAAAATAATTTGATTCAAATGGCAGTTTATTTCGAGCATCCGCCACAATAAATTCTACGTTATTTGGTTTTATTTCTGATGGAAACATATGAGAAATGTCAAGACCAACATATGAAGATTGGGTATAATCTGAAGATATATCCAATATCCAAGTTCCCGGACCGCAACTATGAGAGATATACAAGAGAGATATCCAAGAGAGAGATACCCAAGAGGGAGATACACACGAGAGAAAGATACACAAGAGAAAGATACGCAAGAGAGAGATATATAAGATAAAAAGATATAAAGAGGGACGAGACAAGAGAGTTAGGGTGATAACCTACCCAACATCTAGAACTCGACATCCATTAATTAATAAATCTTTAATAGGAGCTGAAAATCTTTCTTTAAATACAGTTTTTATAACAAAATGTTTTATTTTTAATCTTTCTGCTTCTTCAAATTTAGCTGGAATCATATAAAATTCATTATTGCTACTATCACTTGTTTCTGAGTCAAAATTTTTCGCGTTTCGTTTTATATTCCCAATCAATGATAGATTATTTCCCATGCTTATAGTTATATTTAAATAGCATTAATAAAAATCAGTCGAATAAATTGTTTTTTTTTATATTTGATTTTATTGAAAAAGACAAAAAATACTGAATAGGAAATTTTGCATCTATTTTAAAAAAAAAAATATTCTCATTACAAAAAAAAAAAATTCTCACTTAAACAAACATATTTGTTTTTGTGGGGGGTGTGATTTTTAAACCAAATTATATAATAAAAGTCATAGATGATGTTCTCACGACGTAGGTTTGGTATTAACAATGTGTGTGACAGTTGGTTTTTTAAAGTTTTCATGTGCATATATAATAAATATAGCACAAGAACAACAAAAGAACATAGTAGACGTCACAAAAAACAAACGCACGAATTTTTTAATACATATTTACCTTATAATCATCAAAAAAAAAATATCAAGTAATACTTACCCTCTTATACCAATAAATATTCTAGTAGAAATAATGAAACTTTTAGACTTCACTTTGAAAAAAAGAGCTAGAAAATCAGGTATTTATAAATTACACAGAAATGTTTGATTCGCAACAAATAGAATATTCATATAATACTTCTAATAAGTATATATTGTATCATATTTTATAATTTTAAATATTTATTTTAATTTTTTAAGAAAATAATTTATATATTTACAAATTTAATATTCAGAATATTGGGTTGCTTATAAGATATGCCGGAAGGAATCGATTGTAATTTAATAAATAAATAATTAGATATTTTTGCAATATAGCAAAATATATGAAAAAAAATGTACTATTTAAAAGCTATAATTACTATTAAATGCAAGATATGCCACACATCAAGTATATTAAACTTTATTAGCCAACATTACATTTCTGGTTTTCTTCCTTCGCGAAAGAACAAAAAAGATCATTTATGTTATGTATTAAATATTGATATACTTCAAACGTTATATATGTTTAATTATTGATTCATGAATCGGAATGGTCCCGCTATGTACGTAATGACATATTAATTTATACTTATCATAGAAATATATAAATACTTACCTCATTAATAAAATCTTTATAATTACTTCAATATGTGTTTTTTTTGGCTTGAAATTTGTCAATTAATAAATAATCTCAATTACCATCTCTTATTTATTTTTAATTGACTTTTTTAAATAAACAGATTAATTTCATTGTTTCCAAGATCATTACCCGAGAGCGAAAATTCGTCACAATTATTTTCCTTTCTTAATCACCATCAAAGAATTAAGCAAATAAAGTTAAGAATGGACAACTGGAAATGAAACAATTGATAAATTAATTTCTTAATTTCGGATGTTCAAAAGGTGGTATTGCATATTATGCTAAGTGAATTATGAAAGCGAAATAGTCATCATGATGTAACATTAAAAAATTCATTAATTTAAATGAACGAAGTAATATATTTTTAAAATTGGATAGTTAATTTTTTAATTAAAAAAAAAAAGATAGCTTCACATGTATTTTAAGTACGATTAATTATAACAAATGCAAGCACCATTTTTACTTTTAAGAATAATGATTACAAATATCATAAAAGAATTTACTTAAAAAGAAAAATTCAAAAAAAAAGTGTATTATTACATAGTATTGAAAATTTATCTATTAATTGGTCATATATAAATTAAGCTTTCGTCACTACTTTAAAAACTTCCCAATCAGATACAGTGAATGAAGATGGAAGACTAATATTATTGTAACTACTTGGACTATATCTCCAATTATTGGTACCATCGTAACAACGCAAATCTTTACCTGCTCCAAATGTTGGGCCATATGAGCTGTGACAGTATACAGCATAATTATAATAACTTGGAGAAATACGACCGATAGTTGCTCCAGAAATATTATTCTTATCACTAATTGAAAATAAAAAACTATCATCTGTACCATAGTAAGCACCATCTGAATTCCAATCTAATGAATTATAACCACCCAACAATTGTTCGGAATTTTGAATTTTAGCTATCAAAATAGTGGCTCCTTGGTAATCACATTTTTGATGAAAAGTGTAAGAACTATTTCCATCTCGGCTACATCTGAAAAGAAGTTCAAACCCATAAGGCATCTTTTTTTTAATATCCAAATAATATGTATTTTGTTGTTTATCAATCCAACTAGCAAACAATAAAGTAACTTTTTTATTAATCAATAACGTATCAAGGTCTATTTTTCTAGATGGAAACATATTAAAAGCAGCTTTAGCATCGGGAACCATATAACAACGTAAGATATCATCTTCAAGTTCTTCAGAAATAATTTTCCTAAATGGTCGTACTTTAAGATAATAATCTTTCATAGATATTTTATGAAATCGAATTAAAGGGATGCAGTTGTGCAATCTTTCCTCCAAAGTTTCGAAATCTTTATTGGTGAATTTTTTGACATTAGAACTGAGTTTTGGTTTTTGCTCAATTCCCCATTTAATCAAGCAATCCCATAGTTCAATTTCATCTATTACAAGCTCATCACATTTGAGAATTAAAATCAAAACATCTTCTTCTAAAGTTAAGTATTTATTTGATTTAAACAAAATATCTGGATCAGAGCAGATTGTTTCTAAACAAAACTTTTTAAGACTTCCGAAGCCTAAATGACGAGTAATAATGTAAAGCATCCCAACAGGATCTTGACGCAAAAAATCATCTCTATTGTCGATTAAAAACTTCTGAATAAAATCAATAAGTTTCTGAAGTCCGAGTTCGTCAGAGGCAATTAAAATTTTAAGAATTTCAGGTCCATCGTATTCCCGAAGGTCTACAATCCCACAATAAATCCACCTTTCAAAATTAAACAAATGTGAAAATTTGATTAGTATTGAAAATTTTAGTGCAAATATTTTAAAGAAACTTGTGAAATTAACATACTTTAGAATTATTTTAAATACTTGAGCCGAAACATTTGGTTTTTTAAAAAGAAAGTATCCTTTTTCCTTCTTCACCCATTCATTTGAAAGGGCCCCACGAAAGTAAGGTGAGCGAGCTCGTAACACCAAAGAATGAGCATGAATTTCTTGAGAATCCTCGCCAGTGTAAATTTTAATATCATAACCTTCCATAGTTTCAAAAAGTTGTTTAAAATCCTCAGCCATATCTGAGAAAAATGTTGTTTCCATTTTTTTTTTTTTGAAAGACTTTTTGTGAGAAGAATTAATTATAGATAAATAATAAATCTTAAACCGATGGCATATTAATATTATTGATTATAGATAAATCGATAGATGGCTTAGTAATATTTATCATGTTATTCCTTGTTATTCCTTGTATTCATACTCCTTTGCAGTAATAAAGTTTATTTGATAATTGACGAAAATAGTTAGAGTCTCAACGTTTGGGCGTACAGGATTGGTTTTTGTTGAAGAAAAAGGCTAAGCTCGTTTGCATCACATAAGTGGAAATTTTTTATCAAAATAAATTAAAAAATAAAAACGATTTTTATTTTTATTCATCAAAATCACTAAAATCATTTGCTGCTGAAAATTTTTCTAATCATATCAAATAAATCCTTGATTTAAACTAAAACATGATCTTTATTTGTTAATGTATTCTGTCCGATATCTTTAATAGATAAAAAATAAAATAAAAAAAAATGTAATAAAAAAAATTAATAATAAAAATTCAAGTAAAATAAATTATATATAAAAGAGAGAAAATAATTACAACACAATCCAATTCATATCACCTAAATGAAATAATTTAATTCAATCATTTCGAGCATCCACCACAATAAATTCTATATTATTTGAATTTATTTCTGATGGAAACATAAGAGAACAACATATGAAAATTGAGGATATATCTAATATCCAAGCTCCCCGACTGCAACTATATAGAGAGATAACCTACCCAACACGACCTCCATTAATTAATAATCTTTAATAGGTTCATCAATACAATTTTCACAACAAAAAATGTTTTATTTTTAATCCTTCAGATTCTTCAAATTTGACTGGAAGGATATAAAATTCATTATTACTAACATCTGTTTTCAGGACGCGTTTTAGAATTTCCTGTTTTGTTTTTTATTTCTAATCGATGATAGATTACTTTTCCATGTTGCGTTATATTTTTAAGGTTATATTTAAATAGTACAAAAAAATCGACTAGGCGACATTTGAATGTTTAAAAAATATTGCAACTTATAAACTATACACTACTGTATTCATATATTAATAGCTTATATAATTGTAATAAACCATGCCGGGTGATTTTTAAATTTCGTGTACTATGCACGGCAAAAAAAACGTGACATGCATGCAAAATGTTACATCATACCAGATCGATCTTTTCCGATAATGCGATTATTCATATATCAATTTCCTTTTAGCCTTAAGAAATCAACAAATCAGCACTAAGAAATCAATAAATCAGCCATAAGAAATCAAATAAATCAGCTCAAATAAATCTATGTTGATTAATTTTCCACAACTTTCTTTTACTTTTGAAAATTTTAAAAATGTCTCGTGCACGCACTTCAGATGAAATTTGGTTGGCAAGGAATTTGGATAAACTTGACGAACTTTTACATAATTATCCAAAATTGCCAAAAAAGCCGTTAGCAGAGAGCAGGTGTGTGTGTGTATGTTACTTCATTACTTAATTACCACCTAATGTTGACTTTTTGTACGAAAACACAGGTTGCCTATTGTAATTGGCTCGAAAATAACGATCAAAAATTATAACACTTTCCTTCACAATCACGGTTCATCTGGATACAAATTCCGGTTCCAATTTAACAACGACAATAAAACTGGCAGCGTGTATATAATTGGCATGGCCTCACCCGAACATGAGGATGTTATTAACCAGCTTATAAAATTTTTCGAAGTTCCTAATGGAGGAATTGTTGGCAACCTTCCCGTAAAAGTCTCTGGACAACCTCGTAAGAGAATCTATTCTAGTTTGCTTCGTGTTATTGAGTTTTCAATATTCTTATAGTCTTTTCATATAGTTCACTATGAGCCTGGTGGAAGTGGAGTTGAAGTAGCTCCTGATGTTTCTGTACGCCCAAGTACAACTTTTGTTCCAAGACCTGCCGATTCCATCGTAATACCTCGTCCTCCCAGTGATATACATGTATGTTGAGTTCGATGTGTATTATTGTATGTTTTACATGTGATTTTCATTATTATGGTTTATGTAGGGAAATCCTCATGCACGAATAATGTGTGAGGTAGCTGTGGGCCCAAGTATTGGTGAATTGGGACGAAAATGTTTATCTTGGATGCATGAACAATACGTCCGTGCTGTCATCGGTATCAAGATTTTATTTCCAAGACCAGGTGTGCGAGAACCTGGAACTGGATATTTTTTTAGATCAATGACGGTATCTTACATGTTATTCAATGATACTTAGTTAAGTATTGCATATTTTCATATCTGATTAGTTTGTTTTTTAAATGTTAGGCAAAACTTTACCGTCAAGGAATGGAAACACAGCGGTGGGATTTTGGGAATGTTTTAAAATATTCAAGGGATCCTATTGCTAATATTAATGATCCTAATCTTTGCAACACACCAAACGATCCAAGGTTTCAGATAAATATTCCCATAAAAGAAGTATTTTGGGACCCACAGTTTCCCATTCCACTTAATTATGTTCCATTAATCCCGACAAACTTAATTGGTAACGAATTTAATATTGACTTGTACTGGATCCAGAGAATAGCTTTAGAAGCTGCAATGCAAACAGCCATGATCACGTGAGAATGTGAAATGGTTTTTCAAATATATTGACGATATTAGTCACGAAGCTGCTATCGTACTCTTTTTTATATAAATAAATAAAGTTTATTCCGCATCGCTAAAGTGGTATAGTACATCGTAAAAACAAAATTGGATTGTCCGTTATTTTCAAATATAGTATAAAAGAATTTTTTATTGATTATTTTATTAATGATAGTGTGACGAAGCACGCAAAATAGTATTTTTATATTCTTGTACGGATTCTTAATTTCGGGATATCTGTACTCAATTCCTGGACCTTTTTAATATGCGAGCGTTTCTTAGTTTTTTGTTGGAAGTATTTTCTGTATCTTCTTCGGAAATATTGCTACGCTTGGACAAGAAAACTCTCCTGGAGGTATCATCATTTTCACCTATGCCAATCTGATTCATTGATTGGTTTCGCGTGGACCCCTCTGGATTCGATTCTAAAAGATTATCGATGTTTCTCCCTCTTGGTTGGCAAGAGAAGTTTCATCTAATAATCCTACTTCCGCCATAAATACCAATTCATTTTCTTCGTCATCGATAATAATGTTACTTTGCTGAGACGCACTCTTCCCGATTCATCGATTCTTGGCTATACGATACTGACCTGAAGCTAATGCAGTTGCTTCTCTGATTAGTTTAATATAAGTAGAGCAGACAAGACAAGTTTGATGTAGAATATGCCCACAGGATAGTATTGTAAATGCTTAGAAATCGAAAAGTAATTATATCTTTATTGCATAGCTTACACGGATTAAGTTTTGGGAAGTTGTCTGTATTAGGAATTTCAGAGATATTTTGATTTCACGAAAATTTAATGAAAGTGCTTCGAGTTGGAAAACCTCCGTATTGGATATACAGTCGCGTCGGAAAGTAACGCCCGATTTTTTATTAAAATAAAAATTCACATGATTTATTCTATTTCTATATTATGTACATAAATTTTTTTCCATAATTAACTAATACTTTGTTCCTTTGTATCCAATGCTGTTTCAATTCTTTGTGGCATTGAATCTACAACCTTCCTAAGAATTGATACATTAAATCTCAATCACTCCTCATCTACAGTTTTTGGAATTTTTTTGTATCTGAATATTGTCTTTTAACAATTTCCAGATGTTCTTTATGGGTTAAGATCGGGAGAATTTAATGGCCAGTCCAACTTTTTAATTTTTTTTGTCTCGAACCATTTTAAGTAATATAGATTAGAGAATTATCCTGTTGAAACACCAGTTTTGGATGCCATTTTTAACCATACACATCATTATACCACATTCATACAGTCATAAAAAAAATAAATGGATGAGAAAAAAAACAAAAAAAAAAGGGGGAATCAGTTGTGAAAATATTGCATATCGTTAAACCGGAAAATTGTGCGTTACTTTGCGACACGACTGTACGCAAAGTCTCGCTAGCCATGCCGAGAATTTTAGAGAAAGGATTTCTGACCTTCCCATATCTAAATATTTTTCATGTATTGAGACTAAACAAAGTTAGTATATAGTCCGAAATTTCATTATCAGAATTACACATCCCGTAATTAACACAATCTGCAAATCAGAAGATCACTTTCTTTATTGGTATAAATAAAATAAAATAGTGGAACTAAATATAAATTTTTTGATTCGGGACCTCTTACGTTATCGAAGCTAATCCGATCTTTTAACAACCCCACAACGACACTCAATTCCCGTTCTACTCCTTTTCAAATAGAGTCAAGATCTTTTTTGAGCGCCATTTTAGAAAGGTTGATTTGATATTCGCTTTTACTGGTGGCAAACATGAAGTGCCATTCTGTAGCTAAAAATATTAAGCGATAATTAGTAAAAAATCACGTCGCATTATAACCGAAATTTCGGCAAACATGTTTGTCAGGTATCACTTTTTCCAGAAAATCTATGTGTCATAGACACTAACTCCACTGTTCATGCCTGTAGAGACTATTCCGTAAAGATAGTCATAATCGTCATTTCGAAATGCTTGATCTGCGGTACGTTTCTTCTTATTTATATGGTACGCGTTCTCAAGTGCATGATATTCTGAAGGTAACAATTTCAACATTACAAGGTTTTCCCTCAGCTATGCAAATAAGATCCTCGTTTCCTTTGATTACATAATCGACACGTCCTCACCAGAAACGTCTTTTCGATATGATATATAGGTTTTTTCTTCATTGGTAAGTCTTCGAATGATAGCCAGTGTCATCGTCATCGATCTCCTCGAAAACTATTAACAGAAAAAACGAATTACTATGTGTCTGGAAAAATTTGGGGCACTAAGTGTCCTACTCCGTAGAAAAAATTCTCACATACCTGGATTGAATTGCTTGACGCTCGTAATATCCTCCCCATTAACCTTGGTATTCTTTGTTCTTTAAGCTCCTCGGTAAATTCTGTAAGTCTTTTCGCGGGACCAGCTTTCAAGCCATAACTACGGAATTCCTCTTTGGTTGTCTCAAGAAAATCGCGACCGAAAATCCTTTCATAGGAACTTAAAATCCGCGTCAACAAGATCTAATTCCTCCTGCCTCAGTAGATAATCGATAAGTTCTACTGTCTTATATTTTTTTAATATTGTCCGCCTCGTGCGAGCTGTCTTCCGTTATTGATGTGGGAGAATAAGGTGAGGAAACGCTGGGTGACATATTATCGTTTTATATTGATAAATTAAAAAATCTAGTTTTTGTATCCCGCTGAGAAATGCTAAATGTTGCAAGGGAAGAAAGTGAGGCACGTACAGTAAGTGTAATTATTCTATAATAAAAATTTTTGTTATGCAGGTATAAAGTTGACAGGCACACGACGATCTTGGAGATTGTGGAAATTTCGACTTCTTACGATATAAGTCCTTTGAAATACGCACTAATAGAGATTGTTTGTTTGTGCTGGTTCTTGTCGCAGAACGTATAATTTTCCAAAACTAAATAAAGATTTACGAACTTCTATGTAGATCTGATTAATCTAATAACTTCGATCTACTAATTTCTGATCTAAAAATCTGTTTAATCTCATCTTGCTTGGCTATTTCTGGATCAAAATCTTTAGGTGAAAGCTTTGTTTTCTCAGGTATAACTATCTCTTGAGACGTAGCATCAGGGTTATTATTTCTAGCATTTTTGCTGTATCATTCAGGACCTATCGAGTTGTATGTTCATAAGGATTGGTTGGCATCCATACTTTTTTAATAGTAGCCGAATCTATGTGATAATGGGAATTAACCTTTTTATTTGCGCTTTAAGATCCTTAGCATATAAAATAGCATCGACATCGTGTTTAGTTAATCGGGTTGGAGTTGCTCTTTTCTTGGAAGATTTTTTCGAATCATCTTACTCGATTTTTTTTTGCAGGCAATTTGAACGAAAATTATATCTTGTTGTAAGTAAAAAATATACAATAATTATTATTTATTTTAGTCTAAAAAATTTTTAATGATCATCAGACTCGGAAGAATAACTTGAATCTGAGGAAATGGAATCAGTCTCGGATTCAGTTTCAGAGTAACTCGAATCATAATATTCATCCAGGTTAGATGGAATTTTAAAGTCCAATGTATCATCAGGAAATAATAAATCATAGAATTTTTTCATATTATACCATATATTATACAATTCTGAGGAGAATACTTGAAATTTTCTGGTTCTGGGTACATATGTATAATTTTTCTGATTCTATCCATTAAACGATCTAACCATCTTTCATCTAAAACTAATTCGTATTTAAGCTTATCAAGAACTAAAAAATGTTCATGTGATTCACCTAAGCTTATAGATAATGATTTTTCGTGGTTCTATTTCAATGATATCTGGAATGGGCATAGAAACCTTTTCACTACGATTCCATCCTCTTACCATTATTTTTTTTTACCTGAATTTATCCTACCAATACCAAGTTCTCTCGCTGCCGGAATCTTGATCCACCGAAATCTCTAGAAATATAACAATCTATTTTTTCAGCAAGTGCCTTACTAATATTGCTATAATGGGATTTGGGATCGATTATTGCTTTAATGGTAATGTTTTATCATCGAATTTACAATCTACTACTAATCTTTTACGAATTTCTCGGACATCCTTATATTTCCAAATATTATTTATACTGGAACAATTTTTTAGGTCTTAGATCGGAATATTCTTTATAATATATGATATCAATTCTAGTACAAAAAATTAGGCATAGTTAAATATTATATTTTATTCTGTATTTTTCGCAATATTATAATAAAGATACCAAATTTATCCTATGACTGGAAATAATAATCTCGATCCATTTAATGAGCTTTTTGATAACTTTTCATAAAATTCGAAAAAAAAATGGATGAAATAACAGAAGACTTCACAATTACGGGTTTGACTGTTACATAAACAATACAAAGATACCATCATTATAAGGAGGAAATAATTTGACAACCAAATAAATTTGAATAGTGGTACACAGGAAAAAATATCCATTCACTAGTTCATGTAAACTCTTTACACTTTCTGTATCTTCAACTTTCACAACTAAAGTAGGATATGGTCTCCTCATTGAATTGATTAGCAGCAGGAAGGGTGAACAGACTCAGACTTTTTATTGCTTGAGACAATTCTTTGTTAACTTTGGTCTGATTTTTTTTCGCTTTTTATTGGCAAGAAACCTAGTGGTGGTTCTTCGTTCTCTTTCTAGTGATAATAACCCTAATGTTGGTTCCTTGTTTTTTTATTTATTTTTAACAGTAAGAATTGGGAATTGGTACAACAGAAACAAACTTGCTTCGTACTTTCTTTCATTCAATTTTTTTCTAGAATTTTATTTAATATTCGTTCTTAGCTTTTTAACAGCAAGAATTGGATGAACTTGCTTCATACTTTCTTTCACATTCAATTTTTTGCTAGAATTTTACCATGCTTTTGAATTTGCTCAATTTTTTATATTAAAATGTATTCTACCTAATAACTCATTATGTTCGTGATTGAGATTATATATCTTATTTCAAAAAAAAAAAAAATCATTTTCAAGATAAATCGACCATGAGAAATATAACTTCGAATTGTCAGGCAAAATGAACTTGTTTCATGATTTCGTTTATATTTTATATTTTATTACCTTTTGCTAGACTTGTTTGTTATTTACAAGAGTATTTTTCCGAAGCCGGTTATAAAACTAACCTTCTCATATATCGGGTTTGTGAAAACGTAATTATACATTAAAATCAATATTAAACAAAAAATAATTATAGAACAATTAAAATGCGGTTTGTAAATTCCTTAGATCTATCAATAAGTTATTGGGTACACAGGGTACACCACCAGGAATATCGTTAAACAATAACGCGGTGGGAATAGTCAGGAATATTTGCATGATTACAAGGAATCCCTCCAAACCCGATGCCAGTATTGACTAGAACATGTGCAGTACCTAGAAGATATGCTCGTGCGATAGGGTGAAGATCTGTTGTTCCGAAAAGATGTTGGTTGGTATGGTTGGATTTGGATTGTTATGCTGATAAAACAATGCAAGAAGCGCAAAAGTACCATTCCGGCGAGGAGAAAATAATTTAATAGCAATTTAAATTTGAATGGTGGTACGTTGTGAAAAATAATTTGCTATTTTATCATGCACTTTCGATACTTCAGAGTTGGATATGGATGTCCCATTGAGGTTGTCGACGATTTATTGGGTCGTACTAATGATTCGGCTAAACCTGCTCATATTTTTTTTTTATCTTTTAATTTTACTAACCTTATTGCTCCAATAACTACCCAGGGTAGTAGTCCTAACCTCCTAACCCTAAGGAAGTAAATAAAAATTTGTCCATAGCAAAAAGTCCTTCTACATTTCGTCTTTTAATTTAGCCCGTTGTGTCCTAAATGTTCTAAACCCTTTAGCTCAAATCACTATGTAGGTCGAAAACAAATATCAGGTCAGGACGATAGATACTATTCGTACCCACGATAACATCTATTTCACCAAAAACTAGCAAATGATCATTCCAGCTTCTCATTATAAAAACTCAATTCCCCTTGTATCAGTCCGTGAGGGTTGAGAGGCATTTCGTAGGCTTCGATTTTTCCATCGATTAAATGGTATTTGACAGAAATGCTTGGTTCTCCTTTACAAAACTTAAGATAAGTTTTAAGTGACACTTTTTTGTCAATAATAATTCCCTTTCGTTTTACTTCTTCGATTCCTTCTTGTCGCCTGATCGCAAGAAGCTTGTGTCTTTCTGAATCAAACGCCTTGGACCATTTAGAGAATAATTCGCTTTGCAAGGGAGACATAATGTTTGAATGATGTGAATGACGCTTTTTACAGAAAAAAGTTCAATTGCCAACAGATGTTAGTCTAATTAATTTGTAAAAAGAATACTAAGCGAGAAGAAAGGTTGATCTGTCGAAAAAGAACAAGTTTATGATGAAATCTGCGTTTTGGTGTCTCACGTGAAATTCCGCAAGAAAAGTCAAAAGAGCTACAAATTATTAAAAATATAAAAGATTAAATAGGTTAATCTTATCGATATATTCTTACTATTATTAGACAAATTCTATGCGATATATAAAACGATACCTTGAATTAAGCAAAAACCCAGCTCTAAACTAACTCAATTATTTCAAAAAATTGAAAACAAGATTATAGATATGAGCTTGAACTCAATAATTTTACGATTTCTATACAATAATAATATATCATATCATGCCACTATTGTAATATGAGACGGGTCAAAGTCGTCCATATTTTTATGAATTCTTTGATGAATGTAATAATTAATTAATTAATTAATAATGAATTTAGAATGTTATGTTGTAAATTTATATAACAAACAAACCAAAATATTAATAATAGCATATATATGCATATCTGATATACATGACATGATGACATGTTTTTTACATATACAATGTGTGCATTTTACTATAGAATTAAATAATAATTTCGAATTACTTTAATGAATAATATCTCGTAATTCGAATGATTCCACAGTTTATTTATTACGATATTATAAAAATTCTTGAAAATACATTAAAATAATATAAAAACTTTGTGTTAATCTACTGAATAAAGTAAAAAAAGAAATATTAAATATCAATTGAACGAAATATTATAATCAATTCATTTGAAATAAAAACGGGAGGATTTAATTTTACTCTAAGAACATAAAAAATGCACATAAATAACCATTTGAAATCTATATCAATATATTACAATCACTCTATATGTCATTCCACTTTACTATTAGTAAGACAGACAAACAGACAAACGGGAAATTCTATGAAAAATAATTCACCAATACTATTTTGTTCCCGGATTTTTTTATCATAAAAGGAAAAGCATGATGAAATATAATGATAAAAAAAAATCTACCGTTTAATTTGTTTTTACTCCACAATTTTTCAATTTTACAATATATACACTAAAAAGATATACCTTTGTTATATGCTATATAACATATGTATATGATACTTTATTTACGCTTTATTTATTCTATATATGTGCTTTATTTATGCAATAATATGCTTTATTTATACTTATTTATACTTTATTTCATGCTTCATGCATCATAATAATATGCAAAACAGTATACAATAAATATATGCGCCCGAAATTTCATTTCCCAAAAAAGTATATTTTGTGAATAAAGTGAATTGGAGGTATTGTACGTGTGTAAAGTTGTAATGGTATAATTTATTGTTCAAAAATAAATAAAAATGTCTCTTCAAGTCGTCAATCAATTGCCCCCAATGAATGTCCTTAATGTCCTGAAGGTTCTTAATATTTTCTGTGTTCTTTTTGTTAATGTAGCCAATTTGTTATATCCCCAGCCCAGTCAACAATAAATAATCAAACTGTAATTCAATCTTCATAATGAATTCATATAATATTCATGTGACTACCAATAAGAAATCATATAGTAACAATATAATAACTGATAATATAACAATATAACTAGATGTACGCCTATGTCACAAAAGGTGCAAAATGTACCCCTTGTTGTATTTTGTTGTATTTTTTTTACGTCACCTTAAAAGTATAGTCCTCATTAACCTTAGTTTATATTAGAATAATTCATTTATATATTTCAAAATTTTTGGTTCGAATTTTTTTTTTTTTTTAACATCTCTTTACCAATCCCTTTAATCCCTTTATTATTATTTTTATTATTATTATTTTTAATCTCTTTTATTTAATTATTATTATTATTATTTAATTATTATTTATTTTTATTTATTTTTTTTAATTATTTTTCAAAAAAAAAAAATGACATTTCTAACCAATCCAGATTGTATTCATGAAGTATTAAAATATCTTAGACATGATACAAAATCTTTACATGCATGTTTACTGGTCAATCGGCTTTGGTGTGAAATGTCAGTTCCGATATTATGGAAAGATCCTTGGGTAAAAATTTTTAATATTCCACTTTCTAAACCGTCCTTTACTCAACCTTCAGCTTTGATCAACACATACATTAACTCATTACCAAAAGAATCATTAAATATCTTAGAAAATCATGGGATCAACATTTCATCATTATCATCATCATCAACAACAACAAAAAAATCGACAATCTTCAATTATCCTAAATATTTACGTAGTTTAGATCTAGAATTTTTATATTGGTTGGTTGTACGTTGGGTTCGAGAGAATATTGCAAAAGAACAAAAAATTCATAATCATTCAAATAATTCAACATTATTTCGAATACCATTTAAAAAAGTAGCTAAACATTTTAAAAGATTTGGAGGAGTTGGAGTTGGAAGCGGAGGTGGAAGTGGAAGAAAATCTCCAAATTTGGATTATAATCATAATCATAATAATAATAATACAATATGGGATTCAATGCCACCTCAAGATATGATAGAAATTGTTTGTTCCGAATTATTAACATTATTTCTTCGAGAATCACCCAGGATGTATATATTACGTATTAATGATTATTCCAAAGTAGGAATTTTTCCTCAATTAGGAGAAGTTTTAGCTAATCTTGAAACGACGACGACGATGACAAGAAATTGTTTTTCATCATTAAAGGGATTAGAATGTAGAGATAAACCAATGATGGATAGTACATTTAAACAATTATCATTACTTACAACAGAAATTACACAATTTTTAATTATTGGTAGTTATAATACAGAATCATTAGCTAACTTAATAAGAGGACAAAAGAGAATACAAAAAGTATGTTTTGAGAACTTTTCATGTATTTCTCCTGAAGAATATTGGAAACCACCTCCTGAATGTTCCGAATGTTCTAAACGTTCTGATCGTTTAAAAAGTTCATTCGAATGTTCTTCGGAATGTTCATCATCAAGATTAGGATTAGGATTACCTGGAGGTGTAGGATATGAAATATCAAAGAAAGCACAATTCATTACTAGTCTTCATCTATTAAATTCTTGTGCAGTATTAAACAAATTATCAGATTTTGTTAATTTACGAGAATTAACAGTTCAATGTATAGAAGAACATAATTGTGATTATACAAAATCTTTGTTAACACCAACGACAACAACAATGATATCATCAACAACAGAGTCGTCATCATCATCACCAATATCACCAACGATAATTGCATCATCATCATCATCATCATCACAAATACCAATTTTGCGATATCTCACAAAATTAAAATATAGATGTAATCATGAATATAATTTAGAATATTTAGCTAATTTAATAGATCAAACAGCTGGAGGAAAATTGAGAAAGATTATTATCGAAGGAACGAGAATTGTTGATCCACAGAATAGTGCAAATCTTGTTAGATCCATAGTAAACAAATGTCCATATTTAAAATCTTGTTCAATTCCATTATCAAATAATAATTCGAGATTAATAATTTTGATTCTTGAATTTTGTAAACGAATTAAAGATTTAAGACTTTGTGCCATACCCGATACCACATTTACCACGTCATATGATTATAATAATAATAATTTTAATAATAATAATAATAATTTTAATTTTAATAATTTTAATTATAATAATTTTAATAATAATAATAATTTTAATATTGATATTGATAATAACCTTAATTTTTTTAATAATAACTTTAACCTTAATAATTCTAATAATAACTTTAATTTTAATAATAATAATAATAATAATAATCATAATCATAATAATATTCATAATAATATTCATAATAATTTCCTTAATAACTTTAATTTTAATTTTAATTTTAATTTTAATTTTAATAATAATAATCATATTTATAATAATAATAATAATAATAATAACAATGATGATATAATATTATATCAATTAGAACATATCCCGCCTCGATTACGTAAATTAGAATTAATAGATTGGATATTTACTCCTTCAACTTGGGAATCATTCCTAAAAAATCAATCCATCACGAAAAAAAATTTATTACAGATTTATTATTATTGGAATATTCATTCAAAAGAACCTAAGCCTTCCGATGAATTTTTAAAGATTTGTCGTCAATGTAAGAAAAATGGTGAATTAATTAATTTCGAGAGTATTGATTCTTATTGGAAATGGTGAGTATTATTATTAAATATTCTATATATTTTATTTATATTTTATTTATTATTCATTTAATATTTATTTTTATATTTTTAATATTTTATATTTATTTTTATATTTTTTATATTTTTATTTAGCATATGGCCAAAATTATTTGTGTCAAATTAAATGAATTCTCTCTCTCATGATTTTACATAATTAAAAAACATTTTTTTCACACACACACAACACACACTACTTAACCTACTTATTAACATCTCATCACACATTATGTATGCCCTTTTAGACTTTCATAAATTAATTCATCAAACATAACATAATCAAATAAATTAAAAATATATATACAATTTATTATTGTAATTTTGTCAGGAATTTATATCAAGCAAATTATAAATTTTTATAATTTTTATTCAAATTCTCAACTCCCTTCACTATTTTAATTATTCTCTTTAATCAATAATTTAATCGATACCTTTATTTAATTATAATTTTTTAACTTTTATTTAACCATCACCACAAAAAAAAAAAAATTAAAAAAAAATTAAGTTTCCCTCATCCTATATATATATATATATACTCTATATATATTTTCCTGACATTTTACTTATAACTAAAAGAAACAATAGAATAATACCGTAGAAATAATATAGTAGGATAAAATAATCATTAATACGATTTATATTTTAATAATAATAATGAAGAATTAAAAATAATAAAAATTCATCAAAAAATTATAACTAATTTTGTATATTTTTTTTTTGTTTCCGATACTGTCAAATTTCATATCAAAATCAAAGAAGTTGTACGTATATTGTATATACTAAATAAAAGAGACTGCATAGAAATATAAAGGTGGCATATTTTTTAAGAAAATGTTGAATATTTTTACTCTATTTAAAAAAAATACATAACTTGCATAATATACATTTTAAAATTTCTTAATAGTGGTTGAAATTCACTTATAATGAATTGATGCACGTATTTTTACTGCGTCACTAATTGAATGAATGAGAATAGATATTGACATTTAAGTCCAATTCTATCAAAACATTCCTCATTATATACATTCCCACAGATAAGCACAATACTATTTGTATTGAAAATAAAATCACAATTCTCATAATTACAAAATTGGTTCTGATTGGTAAATGAGAAGAATGATATGATAACCTAATGGCATTGCTCCAAAAGAAAATTTTTTAGAAAGCGGTGGAAAATAATATAAATTTTTTATTCTTGCACCTTCCATTTTTTTCAGCTTTTTCACAATTAATCCAAAGTTTTTCAAAAAATTGTAAAAGAAAATTGATTATCATTTCTATGATTAGCCTTTCTTCACATGTGACTTATCCAGCTATTGATAATAGGATGTTGAATGAAAGTCCAGTGTTGAATATCAGATATCAAAGCAAGCAATATTTTATCATAATTTTTTCATCCAAATCTTCTCATCACTATTCACAATCAAAATATTGTCTCATTATATTGATCAAAATTGTTTCTCTGAAATAAAATGGTATAAATATCTAATGTAGCTGGTGTTAATTATCTAATAAATCCACAGATGTACAGTACCCAAAATCTTTTGAATGTTTAAATAATATAAAATATAAGATTTTATAGTATTCCAACCTGTATGTACTAAATAAAATAAAAGGTTGATATACCAAGGTTTTGATTTTACTGCTAAAAAAATTTTTTCCAAATAATTCTTTACATAGCTCATTAAAAAATGGATAAAAAGTTAAAAAACAACTTTCTCGAGTATTAAGAGAGGCATGCATCACAATATAACAGGGATGGTCTAATTCTGTTGAGAGAGTAGATAAATCTGGATTTGAATCCTGAGAAGCAGAAGCTTCATTACCCTAAAGTAGCTTCTTTTCTCGATTTCTTTCTATTATTTCGTTACTAACTTTTTTCCTTTTCTATTAAATTCAGAAAATTGATAACCTTTTTATTTTCTGGTGATTTGGGATCTGTAATAGATGATGTAAAGCATTGAGATAATGACTCTTGAAATATATCAGGATTAGATATGTTATCAGATAGGATTTCTAGAATTTGTCGGGAGTACTGTTTCAGGGGAAATAGGTAAACTTACTGGAGACTGTAAATCATTAGTAACATTTTTTTCTTTATCTCTCTGTTTCAATTTCGTGACTCTATCTTTAAGCTTAGCATTCTTGGCGGTGAAGTTGGTAATGTCTGTTTTGAAAAATAGTCATTGGTTTACAAGAATTACTGCCATAACCGAAATATTCATACCTTAATTGCGTGTTCAGAACCCTCGCCAAAAAAATAAAATTATTTCGGAAGAAACGGTACTTTGGTATAATATTTGACGGAAGTGAGGGATTTTGTTAGAAGTTTTAGAAGTTTTAGAAGTTGTAGGGTGATTTAAATAGTAGTTGCATAGTTAGTGTCGCCCATCGCTTAATAGACACCTGTGATTTTTTTTTGAGAAAACTTAAACTAGACCCCAGGGTTTAGGTCATTTATTCTAGACCCCCCGGGGTTTAGGTCATTTTGTCTAGACCCTTTCTTAATTTATAAATATCAAAGTTAAATTTTAGTTGTACAACC